GGGATGAGGGGAGTCCGGGGATGAGGGGAGTCCGGGGATGAGGGGAGTCCGGGGGAGGTGATGAGGGGAGTCCGGGGATGATGGGAGTCCGGGGATGATGGGAGTCCGGGGATGAGGGGAGTCCGTGGGATGTGATGAGGGGAGTCCGGGGATGATGGGAGTCCGGGGATGATGCGAGTCCGGGGATGAGGGGAGTCCGGGGATGATGGGAGTCCGGGGATGAGGGGAGTCCGGGGGATGTGATGAGGGGAGTCCGGGGATGATGGGAGTCCGGGGATGAGGGGAGTCCGGGGATGATGGGAGTCTGGGGATGAGGGGAGTCCGGGGATGATGGGAGTCCGGGGATGATGGGAGTCCGGGGATGAGGGGAGTCCGGGGATGAGGGGAGTCGGGGGACGAGGGGAGTCATCACGTAACTGAACAGCTGACATGTTGGATGTTGTTGTCCTCTGGGAGGCCGGAATCCTCTTAGTGGAGGACAGATGGCAGCCGGGCTCCTCCTGATTATCCTGCGACGTGCGGGGGAGGGGGGGGGGTTGTAGATTAATGAGGATATGGAGCTCAGCGACCGGACTCTCATCATCCTCTGGACTCCGTGTGGGGTGATCGCTCCGCGTCTGTCCGCGCTCCATGGACGTCCTCTGGGATCATTTTGAGCTGGCATCATGTTCGTCCTTTGCTCACTCCTCGTTCTCTCCATCCGGAACTTCATGGAGACCACAGGCGCCAATGTCAGCGATAGGGGAGCGAAGCGACGTCCCACGCGGGACCGGACCGGCCAATCACTGCACATGGCACTGACCACACCCACCAGGCTGCACGTGAGTGGTTTGCTGCATCACATGGTGTATAATGTGGGGGGGTGTCCGGGATATGTCCAGCTGGGGATCATACCGGCATGCCGTGTGGGCAGCAGACCGGGAAGGTCCTGGCATGCCGTCAGTGCCGGTTTCTGTGCCCGGGGTGACAACGCCGCGCACACGCCCAGACGCCCTCATCAGAGAAGATTACACAACCATTATCACTCTAATAGATTCCCAGAGACTCGTAAATCCGCCGTCACTATGCGGAGCAACCGGTTCCCATCACAGGAACTCATTCCCGTAACCAGGTCTCCGCGATGACATCATCAATGTCACCATCGCATTCCTCCCTCCACAGAGGATCCACTGTACCGGCACACAGGCTGCTGATAACAACAACGATATTATTACAATGACACTGCGGTAATCACATTGTTTGTTGTGACTGAGCCGGAAAGATCCACAGGCTGCTGATAATAATAATAATGACTGGGACTCCCTGCTGGAACCTGTTACCGGTGTCTCCTCCTGCACTGATTGTTGGGATCCCTCCGGTGTCTCCTCCTGCACTGATTGGTGGGATCCCTCCGGTGTCTCCTCCTGCACTGATTGGTGGGATCCCTCCGGTGTCTCCTCCTGCACTGACTGTTGGGATCCCTCCGGTGTCTCCTCCGGCACTGATTGGTGGGATCCCTCCGGTGCCTCCTCCTGCACT